AGCTACTCGGGAGGCTGAGGCAGAAGGATTGCTTGAGCCCAGGAGTTTGAGGTTGCTGTGAGCTAGGCTGATGCCACGGCACTCTAGCCTGGGCAACAAAGTGAGACTCTGTCTCAAAAAAAAAAAAAAAATCACAAGTCTAGAACAGAAATCATTAACTTCCTACCAGATCTGGCTCTTCCCCATCACATTCCAATTTCTTTCACATGTACCATAATTCTCCCAGTTCCCCATATTCAATAACACAAAGACTTTGACTTCTCCCTCTGCATCTAATTATTAAGTCTAGTCATTAATTTTTTTCTTCATAGTACTAGGCATATCGAAGGCACTCTGTCAATGGAAGGTCTATTTTGTCTATACAGCTATGATTATCCCACTGAAACAGCCTCCATAGATCAAAATGCCTTAAGTCTCTCAACCCACCATTTCATCCATTCATCCAATCTTGAAATTTCTCTTCCTAAATACAACTTTTTTCCATTTAGTCTCCTTTACTCAGAAGTGTTTAATGGCTAGTTCAAAGGCCAAAATCCTTCCCTAGCATTTAAGGACCACCACGATCTGGACCCAATCCAGTTTTCCAATCTTATCTCCTATTATTTTTCCAGAGGAATTCTTCATCACAACCCAAGTGACTTTATCCCACTCTCAAAGATATGTGTGTGTGTATGTGTGTGCATCGGTACTCACACATGCGGTGTACCCTTCCCTATCTATATTATATACAAATTCTCCTTGACTTATGATGGGGTTATGTCCTAATAAACCCATCATAAGTTGAAAATATTGTAAGTTGAAATTGTATTTAATACAGTATACCTCACCTACCAAACATCGTGGCTTAGCCGAGCCTACCTTAAACATGCTCAGAACACTTACAGAAGCCTATAATTAGGCAATATCATCTCTAACACAATTCCCATTTCATAATAAAGTACTGACTATCTCATGTAATTTATTGAATACTGCACTAAAAGTCAAAAACAGAATGGTTGTATTGGTACCATCATAAATGCAAAAAATCCGAACTTGGGAACCAGCTATATACCTCTGCTCAGATTTTTTCCCCTGCTTAGAAATGCCCTCCCCAATATGGATCCTAACAAGACTTTGTGGTCAGCTTACTTTCTGGAAGCCTTCAACTCTTCCAGTCAGAAACTTCTATTATAGTAAGTTCATAGACTTTGCATTGTTTGATATTTCATGTGCTAGTTTTAACAATGCAACAAGATTTTAAGCTCTTTAAGGACAGATCATGTAGTATACTTCTGTATCCTTCCCAGAACCCAGTAACTAGGTTCACCAATGCCAGGTGATGTTTTCTACTTCTTAGATAAAAGTCTTCAATAAAGTGTTCATTAATCCTTAAACCTCATTTCCACTTTACATCTCAAATAACAACTATATTTAAACTATACCATCTTGATCATGTTTAAAGATACATGAATATTAATTTTAAAATTCTTTAGCAGAGACTTTAAAAATTCTTTAATGAGAGGTACAGCATAAAGCATGCCATATAATAATATTTAGTACTACAATTGAACATTAAACTTTATTCTGCCACCTATATTTTATGAAATATTTAACAATTAATGTAGAATATTTGTCTTCATAAATACTAATTAGGTTCTAAGGGGGAAATACCTTAAACTTAAGTATAATTTATAACTGGAAACTTCAAAGAAAAAACAGGTTTTAAATCATTAAAGAGTAAATATTTGAGTGGAAAGAAACAGGTTTATTGGTTTACTTTTTGTTAAAGCTGTACTTTAAATATTTTTCAAGTGTTCAGCTCCTGGTATGGAAAATTCCTTTAGTTACACACTAAAGAAGTAAGCACAAATTAAGTACAAAAACCTTCATACCCTCAACATTTGATGTAATATGGCAAAAATGTTCATTACCACAATATTAAGAAATATCAACAATACAAGTTTGAATAACTAATTCATAAGGAAGAGTTTGAACTGGACCAAATCCTGGGTTTTCTTTCTTCACTCCAGGTTTCTTTTCTATTTTAAACTAGTGGCAACAGAAATTTCTTTGTTTGAAAGTCAGGAATGTTGAAAGTCTTAAGTGATAGAACAGGTAGCTCGGCTTCTACTTCACTTTTCTCCTCAGAGGGAGAAAAACATTGTGGATAAAGTAATTTTGTTTTTATTTCTGGAAAAATCATTTTTTCCATCAATCTTCATAATTCTCTAAAACAAACTGTTAAAAAGTTATAGGTCAGTCGACCACTTCACCCTGATTTGTGGAAATACTATACATTAATTTCAAGAACATGTGGCTAACTCAAGTTTTCTTACTATTCTAAAGATCTAAAAGTTGCTCCTAACTCTTTAACAAAACTCAAGGAGAATTTTAGAAGAATTTTAGATATATTTCTGCATCTCATATACAATATTGTTGCACAAAATAGTAAAAGTAATCTAGGCTCAAGAATCACACTGCACGCCATCAAATTTATTTCACGTATTGTACAATTTCAATTACGCAAAAAGCTTTCTATTGCACAAAGTGCTTAAGAACCTTATCTAGAAAGAAAATGGAAATTAGAAGAATTTACCATTTCATTAAGATGGAGAGAATGGCAAACAAATTTTCCTCTCTTCTTTGCTAACATTGAGATGTTTGCTATACCCAAATTAGGTTGGACAAAGTATTCACAACACTTGGAGGGCATAAAGTGAAAGGCAGAATTTGTAATTTAAAATATGTGATTCACATTCTAATCCACCTTCATTAAGATTTAAAAATTCAAGAGATAGGCAAACTCAGATAATCAAAGCAGGGAGCAATAAGAAATACTGAGTGGCAAGCAGTTACTTAACCACATAAATCAAATAAAGTCAAGACAACTGAAATAAAGACCAGAAACCATTTTCTCCTCAGCACACAGAGTTCCCCAGAATCACAAACTTGATGAACGGGAGGCACACAGCTGCTGACGCACGCAGCACGCACGCAGGCGCGCGCACACAATAGAGAGAGCAGCATGGAGACCCTCAAAGACAAACTTTACATGTGCAACGTTCTACTCTCCACATAATGGAAAGGAGCACACGGTGGGAAAATGTCACACTTTCTTCCAGATCAGATAGAGCAAAACTGTACTTAGTATTGCAAACTACTAATTCTCCTGACACAATTAAAGGCGGAACTGAATGAATGGGGTGTGGGGCAGGGTAGATGGGGAAAAGAGAGGGAGGGAAGGAGGAGGGGAGATGGCCTGAGAGGAAGAAAGTTTGAGACATTTTGCAAAGCTTGAATGGATTAACCTTTAAAAGAGCCCTACTATTTCCTTTCTCTCCCTTTGCCTCTCCCCCGCCCCTTAAGGATACACTGACTTCCTGGGACTCAACCCAGACTTGCCCTAAATGCAGCTGAAAGGTCTCTGTTTAGGACACACGAAGAGTCCTGAGTTAGATTTATGTCCTCCACAAATGGCCTCTTTCGGAGAAAGAATTGTAAAAATCACTTTTGTGACCATGCATAAAATGAGACCAATTGCTGAAAAAAGAGTGAGAGAAAAAAGATGAATTCCATGCATCAATAAGTAAACTGAGGCCCCAACCCTCAGGGCTTTGATTTCTACTAGAAACATAAGCTATTTACTACCGTAAACATTTTTTCTGAACTTGAAAAAAGTTTGCTTTCACATTTTTAGAAGATCATGAGGGACTGAGGCTTTAGTGTTTTTAGCCTCTGACCTATTCATAAATGGGATGTTTAAACTATCTAGCAAAGAGAAAAAAAAATGTGAATGCTTTAAAAAGTTAGATTTGGTTAACATTTAACAGCCTAAAATGCACCGATTTAAAAACAACAATATAAAAAGTTTCTCAACATAGCTTTTCTCTAATAAAATGAAAATGTAATGGAGGGGGGAAAGTTGGACTGGGCAGACCTAGTAAGAAGTTGGGTGCCATGCAGTAGTCCCTTGTCCGGGACAAAAAGCTTCCTTTAACCACATGTAACAGTCATTTTGTGGGAAAGGCGGGGAGGAGGACTGGGAAGTCATCACCTCGGCAACTCTGAATAGGACCCTGCATTTCTCACGCCACACTATGGGCTGGGCCAGGTGGGGGAGCGAGATACAACTTTGCCCTAAAGCAGCAGCACCAAAAGGGAGAAAGAAGTCACCTCGCTCTGCTCTTCGCGCTACGAACACAGGAAGAGCCGAATTCAACGCCGCCGCCACCGCCACCCCTTTTCTTGCCCCGCCCCAACTTGTGTGTGTGTTTGGGGGGGGAGGGCACCACCTGCGTTTTACCCCACAAATTCCGAGACACTTCCATCTCTCCCAGGTTAAGTTCTCCCACCCCCAATCCCCAACTGTACCACACTCGGCAGACACAGGTGTCTCTGGTTCTGGCCTATTTTTACACCCCCCACCCCCGCAAACCCCACCTAGTTGCGCGCCACAGTTCCTCCCTGCCTTGCCAGCACAGAGCACCACCTACCCTAGACGCCTGGAAACGCCTCAAGCCTTACTCCCGGGTCACCTGGCCAGAGCGCCCAGCCCTGCCCTCAGGGGAGCCCACGGGCCGCCTCTCGTCGCCAGTGCCCAGCGCGGAGCGCGCACCGGACTCCCTGGCAGTCACGTGGGCGGCGGGGGAGGCCTGGGCTTCCTCACCTGCATCCCAGGCACTTGGACGGCCACCGGTGAGTGGGCCATGAAGGCGACTGCTGCTCCGCACTGCTTCTGCGGCGGTGGCGCCTTGGGTTCGGACTGGCTCCTCCTCCCGGGGTAGCTCGGCGGCCCTCCCAAGCTTTTCGATCCGGGCCTGGAAGAACACACAGAAGTGGGGTTACTGGGCTGGTGGCGCGTAGCCCGGGGCTGGGAAGTGGGCTGTTCGCGGCGCGGCTCCCTAGGACTCAGTTTACCTTTCTGGCACCCGCCCGCCGCTGTGGCCGCCGCCTGCGCTGCTGCTCCTCTTCCTGAATGCCGGGCGCTGTGTGTGGCAGTGGCTGGGACCTGGGCTCGAGTGATGCCGCTCCTCTGCGCCTCGCCGCTTTAGGAAGAGGAGGTGGAGGCGCCCCAGCCACCCGCCTGCTCGCCTGGCCGGGGAGGCGGTTGGGGGCGGTTCCGCCGTTGGCCCTGCCCCCGCCCCGCCGCCGGGCGGTGTCGCGGGAGCTAAGGCTCCAGGCAGCGAAGGGGTTTGGCTGGGGTTGCTGGAGCCCGAGAAGGGGGAGACTTTGCCGTCGCGCGGAGAGGAGAACCCGGGGACTAGGAGGCTTGGGACACAGCTGGGCCTGGAGAGAGAATGGAAGAGTTTGGGAGACCCTGAGGGTATGAGGGCGTCCCAGACGCGGCCACGTTGCAGGCAGGCGTGCGAGGCTGGAGACGTCTTGAGTTGAAACTTGGAGAGTGTTGGAAGTTTTTCTTGGCTCCCGGACCTGGCCGAGGGTGGGGTCGCAGAGAGCCACGGAGTCGGTGGACCCCTGCTTATTCCCGCCGTCTGGTCTCCCCAGCCGGGGAACGGGCCACTGGGCAAAACCGTAGCCACTTTCCTGCTTCCCAGGTTCCCCACCCCCAGACATGTTTCAGGTGACTTCAACCTAAGGCTACCCCTACCTCTTGGGCTATCACTTGGAGGACAGCCAGACTGGAGCTTCTCTCTACCACAAGTTCTGCACGTGTCAGGGAGAGGGAAATTGGAAAACAGATGGTATATCGGCAGAAAAATTAATGAGGATAATAGAGGCATGGGAAATGAGATTGGATCATTAGCAGTACGTATTATTGAATTCAGCATACACAGCAGAGGTTTTGGCAACTCCCTGCCTCTGCCCCATTTTGAGTTTCACTCCAGGGGGAGACCATCTCTTTTGACAGTACCCCAATACTAACAACAGTATCAATAATAGCAAATACAGGAATTTCATTATGAAGGCACCTTTGGTAACACACAAGCGGTTAATTACATTTTTAAAAAGTAACATCCGAGTGCCAGTTTAAAATGAAGATGAAGCTCTGTCTCTACCTTGCAGTTTGTTATGGGTGTCTGTGGGAGATTCTAGTAGACACTCAATAGTTTCTCTTCTTTTTTAATATTTTTCAGAGAATAGCATATGATTATTACCAATATCGTTATTATTAATGCATGGCATTTTCTTTGTGCCACAGACTGCTAAGTGCTTTATATGTGTTACCTTATTGAATCTTTACAAGGGCCTCTTGGGGTCTTACTGCTTCCCCCCCCACCCCACCCCCGTTTTACAAATGAAGAAAAAGGCTCAGCCAGGTTAAATAATATGACTCAAATGTCACACAGTTAAGAAGTGGTAGAGCTGGGAATTCAAACCCGGGTCCCTCTAACTGGTGATAAATTTACTACTTCCTCTATAGGTTTCTGTTTGTTTTTAATGACGATAAAGGATATAATTGCATTTTCCTTACTCCTAGTTCCCCAAGTCCACGCCCTCACTATTTCTAACCTAATAGTAGGCCCTGATCTAGTCTCTGTTTTCCACCCACCCAGCTGACACTTAACATTGCCAACCTGACCAGAAACCTGCAGTGCCACCTAAACTTAGCGTTCATAAAAATCTCCTAGGGTTCTTTTTAAAGTGCAGATTTCGATCTTACTTTAAAAAGTCTAGAGTGGGCCCAAGATTCTGCAATGCTAACAAGCTCCCAGATGGTGCAGATACACTGATCTTAGATCACACTTTGAGGAGCAAGGGTCTGAATCAATCAGTCTCCATCGTTTAAGACCCACCTCAAGTTCCACCCCCACTGGGAGTTCCTACTTGCTCACGCCGTCCTTCAAACTCCTGTTGCGTGTTGGTGCAAGCAGTGCTCACACTGTAGTTCTTTCTTCTTATTTCATGTATTTCATTTGTTTTGTCTGCCCAACAAGATTATTAGGTGTTTGGAGGCCAGAGATCCAGCTACTCTTACATGAGAATTATTCAAGTAGAATGGCAGCTCTCCAAGGGCAAGATTTTTATTTGTTTTGCTCATTGTTGTATCCCCAGAGACTAGGTGCATGGCACATAGTGGGTCCTCAATAAATATTTTTTGAATGAATGAATAAATGCACTTCCTTTCAGTTCTTCACTGAGGTTACTAGGTGCATAGTGGGTACACTGTATGTTTTATTGGTGCCAGGTTAAACTCCTACGCATTGTTCTTGCTGAGCCTTTAAATTGTTCACTTTATTACGTGTTACACCTTTCATTATCTTGTCTCCTAAATTCTTTCCAGTTACTTTAATTTCACAACTACCTATGGGTGAGTTGTATAATTTTAATAAATAAGTAAATTAAGAGTATCAGAGGAGTGACTTTCCCTGACATCATTCTGAGCCAGAGTTATATAATTATGTGGAGGAGTGAAAACTAAGTGTTGAGACCTGGACTACTGAGACATTTCCTAAAAGGCACTGCTTTTGAGATCTTAGTAAACTTTTTGACGTTTATTTAGGTCTACTGCTGTTAAATAAACCATCTGTTGTTATTATTGATAGAGATCACTTGAGTTTTTACATAGGGTTTCTCGTGGTTTTTCTTATACTTTTTCCGCCGTGTGTGTGTGTGTGTGTGTGTGTGTGTGTGTGTGTTTATACATAAAATCTTGTGACAGTGTGAAAATTTGAAAGCAATTCAAATTTTATGAGCACCATAAACTTTTTCCAAACTTGGACTACATTACTTCTCAAATTCTTAATGTCAATATAATGACAAATTCAACTGTGCTTTTGTTATTCCCCCCGCCACACACACACACAGGACACTTGAATATTTTACTTCAAAATGTCATCCCAGACTCGAATAAGGCATTACACTGTATTCCCACAGTTTAATGGAAAAAGTTTTTTGAGGGGAGACACCACATCTTAGGTATTTTGGTAGCTCCATAGAGTATAACATGGCACCTGAGATAGGATTCGGTACCTGCTTGATTATGTGACCTGAATGGCTATGAATGCTTAATAACCATATAAATAAAGTAATATTACACACATATTAAGTAAAGTCAATGAGTTTCAAGTTAGACAAAATCCTTGAGCCTGTCAAAACTTCATAATTTAAATTTAGCATCTGGTTTTAATTTCCTGACATTTGTCACAACCTCAATACAGGTTGAGTATCCCTTACTCAAAGTGCTTGGGATCAGAAGTGTTTTGAATTTGGGATTTTTTTTTTTTGATTTGGGAATATTTGCAGATACATAATATCTTGGGCATGGGACTCAAATCTAAACATGAAATTCATTTATGCTTCATATGTACCTTATATACATAGCCCGAAGGTAATCTTATAGAATGTTTTAAATAATTTTGTGCATGAAACAAAGCTCGTACGCATTGAACTACCAGAAGGCCAAGGTGTCAGGTGTGGAATTTTCCACTTGTGGCATCATGTCAGCACTCAAAAAGTTTCAGATTTTGGAGCATTTGAGATTTCAGGTTTTTGGATTAGGGATGCCCAACTTGTATTAAATAGTTAACTTTACCTACATTTATAAATATTTACTTAATCAGCTGGTTCACAGCTAAAGTGTACGCCAGACAAACTTTGAGGTAGGCAATAATGAGATAATGCATTAAGGTTGTGGTTCTCAACCAGGGCAGTTTTGCCTCTGGGAGAACATTTTTGGGTGGCACAAATGGGGAAGGGGAGTGCTACTGGCATATCTAGTGGTTGGAGGCCAGGGATGCTACTAACCATCTTGCAATGCACAGGTCAATCCTCACAACGAAAAATTATCCAGACCAAAATGTCCATGGTGCCAAGGTTTGAGAAACCCTGCTCTATACCCTGCATTAGAAGCTACTAACCAAGAAACAGACTTGGGAATCACTGTTCTCTGAGATTTCAGTTCAATGTGGTAGCTGACCCCCTCTCCCCAAAAAAGACCCACAAGATATTGGGCCACACCAAGTGGGTACTAGAAACAAAGCAGTATTCTTATGTTACATTAGTACTAAACCATAGATCATCTGTCCCAAAAGAGTGAATACAACTTAATGAAAAATAATGTTGAAGAGAAAATAAGAAAAAATTCATGATTTGTTTTTTAAAAGATTGATCACTGAGCATGTACCAGGCATTACCTTGAAGCCTTCAAATATGTTAACTCATCACAATACATTTGACTTCTTACTCCACCGTATAAAACTTAAAGGTAGAGTTTCACATTTTAAGCCTAATGCCTATGCTGAAATGTGTATGTGTGTGTATGTATATACATATAGTATATTGGCAACTTGATATTAAATGTATTTTCTTCAATTATCTGAATATTTGAAACTAAAGAAAATTATCTGGGTAATTCTAGAAGCTTACCATCCTGCAATAGGAATATTTTGATTTAGGCTACTGACTCTGTACTGATATTTGGAAGTATAGCATTCAAGGGTCTTACTTTAATAAAAGCATATGTGATACCTTAAATCTCCTTTTTACTCTCTGTGGGTATCAAATTGGAAACCATGATATAACAGTTCTTGCAGATGTTGTGTCCCTGCTATTGTTCCAGCACAGCATCCCAAGGAAAAACCTATTGAATCAATTCTTGGTCAAGGAACATTAAACCTGTGTAATTGCTGAATTCTCCTGAACAACCTTGTACCTTTTGGGGCTTGCACAATACTCTATCATAGTATCATTTATAACAGAAACTATAGTATTTAGGACAGCCCAGCTTAATTTTCTCCCTAGCT